GCAGCAGTCCAAACCCGGACCGAAGTCTGACCTCACTCCCCTTCATTTACTATCAAATAAATGAATGAATGAATAAATAATAATGAAGATGATAATAAATAAAAACCAGAGGATTTATTTCCCAGCAGATCTGAGTCGACCTGTTTACGCACAGCCAGAGTAATAAACAATGCGCCATGTTCTCCATCTCCTCTTTCTGTTAGGATTTATTTTTTTCTACATTTAAATGTTTCTACTCACAAAACACCGACTCAGCTTACTACTTCTCCCTTTTCCTTTCACCAATAACTCATCCATCCACCCATTCACTCCACCTTTCAGTAAACAAACAGCCTCACACAAACAAAACAACAACAAATGGTTGCAGGTGACATCAAGTAGAAGCTCAATTGAAATTAAATGGGATGTTTTTGGCAAGTGCTTAAAGTGAATTGAATCCTGCATCAGTCTGGATCGTGGATGTGATGCGCAGGAAGGTGGGAACTGGGTCATCATCCAAAAAGCGGCTCAAATTACTTAATAATTACGGCAGAAAAGTCGGAGGAAATCAGCTCTTCTTGTGTCTGTGACTGAATCAAAATGGCGTTTCAACGAGGGACATCAGCGCAAACATTAAAAATAAGAAATAAAGCTGCGTAAATAGAGGTCAAACTTTTATTATTAATTCAAATCGATGCGTTCGGGATCATAATACAGAGAGAAACAGGAAGAAGATGAAATGATTGGGTTCTGATGCGCCAGCGTCTAAACAAAAGACAGCCATCATCACTGCTCCCTGCACTGAAGGACTTTGGTTCCAGCTCCAGTCTGCAAACCCCGCACCCTCCCCCCGCACGCAGCCGGTCCCGCACCTGAAGTGAAGCCCCCCTCTGCCTCAGCTCGGATCCCCGTCAAAAACAAACGTGACAACCCGAACCAGCAGCCTTTAACTTCACCTGATGTTTGGAGGCGCTGGCAACTTTCCTGACAATGGAGCTTCAGAGGCGACTACCATAGTGATAGTTATAAGCAAATCTGGCGCAAAAACGAGAAATAACGCAAACACAAAGGTTGCACTGCACCCCGAATAAAGCCCCGATGAAGTCCCGGCTGTCACCTGCGGCTTCCAGGTCGTGACATTTGATTTATTGCGGGTTTAACAGCAAATAATCTCGAACACGTCATTCAAAGTCAATGGCCGGGCTGTGTTAGTTGGGAAAACGTATCGAAGTATTAAAAGGATAAACGGAGACCTGCGCAGTCGGAACTTCACGCATCCGATCAGTTAAAGATTCAATTTTAATGTGCGTTGCGTGTCATCCCGCAAGGTTCCGTCTGTTCGGGTCAATTTGACGGGAATTGGGCAAAATTGTTGGCGGCGCGCGTTACTTCCAGCGGGTTTTCCCGGAATAAAAGTTGTTCGCCGGTGGAAACGGAGGCGGCCGAGCTGGCGGACGGGAAGCCGGATGTCTCCACCACCGGCCCGGCGCGTCCGGTGGACCGCGGAGGATGCGTGGGTTTTATATTTGACCTCAGATGGAGGATGAAGAAACACAAACGGGACGGCGCCAGTTCCATGGAGTCCGCTAGATCAGCTGCTGGCAGTTGGTGTTCTCAATCACGTCCGCAGATAGGCTTCATAGGCTCAATGGAGCGCCTGTGGAATAAGACACTTAAAGTGAACCCGGACACCGAAGACGCACTTTTTAAATTTTTTGGACACTTACGCCGAAACTGCTTTTTCTGGCGTTTTGCTTTCAGGATACACTGTTTCACATTGGTTTTATTTTTCCTACCGGTGAGGCGTTCAAAAGCTGCGGGGAAATTACACCTCCAAGAGTTTTTGATTAACTTTATTTTTAAAAGGAGAATTGAAGAAGTCACAATGGCAGAGACGTCGGCCGCTCCAGCCAAAGCAAAACGGGCGTCGAAACCAAAGAAACCCGCGTCGCATCCAAAGTACTCGGACATGATTAAAGCGGCTATTGTTCACGACGCGAGTCGGAGCGGAGCGTCCCGTCAGTCCATCCAGAAGTACGTGAGGAAGAACTACAAAGTGGGCGACAACGCCGACGTCCAGATCAAGATGGCCCTGAAGAGGCTGGTGGCGTCCGGGATGCTGCGCCACACCAAAGGCATCGGCGCGTCCGGGTCCTTCCGGCTCACCAAGCCGGAGGACTCCAAAAAGCCCCCCGCCAAGGCGCCGGCTGCAGCCAAGCCCAAAAAAGTGGCCAAACCCAAACCCAAGAAGGCGGCCAAACCCAAGAAGGTGACCAAGACGCCCGAGAAACCCAAGAAGGCGGCCGTCAAGAAAGTGAAAAAGGTCGCGAAGAAGGCGACACCTGCGAAAACCAAGAAAGCGCCGGCAAAGAAACCCAAAGCGGCCAAAACCAAGGCGAAACCAGTGAAGAAGACGGCCAAGCCCAAGGCCAAGACACCCAAGAAGGCTGCGAAGACTTCCAAAAAGAAGTGAACGGACTCTTTCTGAAACCCACTGTAAATACTTGAGGATTTTTTTTTCGTATATGTATTATTTTTGTAAGATTTCATGCAAAAAGTCTGTTTATACCTGTAGTTTTTCCTCCATCCATTGCAGCATCAATAGACTGTAAAACTAACTGTGGACATTTTCATTCTGTTGATATTTGAGTCTGAGGAAAACGTGTATATTTATAAAATATACAGCTGAACTAATGAGTAGTTATTGTTGGTGCTCAACAATAACTACTAACAACATCCCAACGTGTTAAAAACTATTTCCAATGTATGTCAATAAAAACAACTTCCAACTTCTTGTCCTCATTTTACACAAATATTACAGAAAGATGCACTTTATTCACAGCTTTAAAACTTAACATATTACTCTAACAGCACGTATTTGCATCACATTGCCAGAAAAAAATTATAAAAAGCTGCGTTAATAAAACCTTTTTGAAAAATCTGTTTCCAGGGGCGTATCCAGAAAGTTTTCTAAAGGTGGCCAGATCCTGGGAGGAGAGGGGAGTGAGGGTAGAAAAAAATCTAAATAATGTTTTAAATTGTAGATATTGAAATACATTTTAAATGGGGATAATTTCCACTCATAGATACAGATTAAATCTGAAGTTTTATTAATACAGTGAAATGTAACTACAGTTTGGTTTAGATATGTTGATTAAATTACATTAAAAATAAATATAAATTAAAATAAAAATATTTTATTGATCCTAAATGAATAATTTAAAAATAATTTAAAAACTGAACAAAAAAAATGGATGGAATTAATTTTTTTTGCAGTTAAACTTATCACCGCTATGCAGAAATAATGATTAAATCCACCCAAATAAAGTAAATATATATTTTAATTAGAAAATAGAAGATACACTGAAAATCATTAAAGAATAATTTTATTCAAGTACATTTCTATAGTGAACCTTAAAATTTAGGTCTGTTTTTTTCCTGATTCTTTGTTCTGCAAATTTATATTTTCAAGTATGAATGTTTTAACATATTGAAAAATATTTTTAACTCAAGAAAATAATAAACATGATTTCCTTCTATTATAGACTAAAATATGCTATTCTGGATCAGAAGTGAGCGTGACAGGCACTCAGAAAGAAATGCTATGCAGAATAAAAAAGAAAACATATTAACATAAACACAAACAAATTTAAGTGGATTCATGCATCTTGTTTAAAGCAATATTATGCATGAATCCAGTGGAGGAATTGACACTTAGGATGGGAAAAATCATTATGCAAGTTAGACTTTGACTCTACAAAATACAACATCAGCTCATTTTAACTTTTCCCAGACACCAAAGGTGATTTTAGAGATAAAATGAAATACACTAATGTTATTAAGGCTAAATAAAGGCAAAAATTATATTTGAAAACGTCAGGTGCAGGAGGGATCTTTCCATCATCATTTCAGCTTCAGCAGATGATTGAAGGGGAAATCTGTGTCGACACACCCATATTTAAATGTTCTGCTTCCCACCTGACGAACAAATACTGCCACCGTGTGGTAGCGCAGGGAAATGGCGCCTTTTCTATTCACAGCAGGAAAAACAAGAGGCGCATAAATACAAGTCAGCGTTAAAAATACTATAGTTGGATTATCTGTTAATGGCTACTAAAAATGAAACAAAACCTGAGGATAAACTTTAAAGATAGTTCTGATGATTAGAGAAATGTTAAATGTCACGACATTAATAATTCAACACAAAATGTCCATGTTTAAGTCAATGAAAGCTCTTAAAACCAAACAATTTCAAAAATAATTTCAAATGCACGAACAGAATCACCGTTCATTAATTAGCTACACTTTGTTGGTGCCTTTTTCTTGCAAGACAACCTTAATATCCGAGGCTATCTGAAGAGAAATCAAAAATTCAGATTTCTAAATAGCACATTTTCAATTTTAGAGCCCAGAGTTCATTTTTTGTCTTGAAATTTTTCTATCTACAGTGACCCTAATTCGTCGTCCTACATAATATCAGAACAAAGTCGTACAACCGAAAGTCAAAAATATACGAAAATAAAGTCATTATGAAAAATCAAGTCGAAATATGAGAGAGAAAAAAAAAAAGAGAATAAAGTTGTAACATTACCAGAATAAAGTCGCAATATTATAAGAAAACTGTATGACGGAAATTCATCAAAAATACTCATGAAATAAAGATAAATATTGAACAGAATAAATATCTGAATAAAGTCGCAACGTTAGTAGAATGTAGTAGTAATTTTGTAATTCCCACTTAAAAGTTAAAATGAGGGATATTGAGCATCTTGTGAAAATTTAATTTGGTATCTAACAAATATGAGAATCAACACAAATAACAGGAGGCGGTCAGAGCTACATAACTAAGATTTTCTAGTCATTTTCTTCTGGTAATATTGTGTCTTTATTCCAGTAATATTATGACTGTAGTTCCGTAAAAAATATCTTAGTCTGACCTTAATACTCCGTTGTACATTTTTTAATAAACACATATTTAAACTTCTGACCAATCACGCAACACTTTGGAGAGTGTTCGGTACCTTTAGCTCCGATGTAGCTTAGCTTTGCGTATTTTCGGTGTTCCCGAAGTTCTCACTCTTCATTTCGGGAACTTTGCACACAGTGAAGTTTATGTCAAAGTCGGTCTTCTCGGAAAGTCGGTAAAAACCAAAATTAGTCCAAATGTTTGCCTTCAACAAAAACGGGCCGGTTGATTTTCTTTTTTTCTCTTTTGTAGTTTCCTGCTTGTTTTGGTGCTTTCCGCGCATGCGTACGTTCCGGTCCCGCCTGCGTGATGACGTCAGGACGTCCCGCGTAGTTACGAAATAGAGGCCAGCAGATTTGTTTCCATTTTGCTAGATTTTGGTACATTTTAAACCGTAATAAAATGAGAATCGCGACCCGTTGCACTCACTCCGGTCTGGTCTTTTATTAAGCATCTGAATCTGTTCACTTTCAGTAATAAAAAAGTTTTTGAAAAGTCACAGAAATGTTTCCTGCAGAACCATCCACCTCTCAGCTTAATCACAAACTGTTTGGTGTTGGGCAACCGGAACCAGCAGCAGGTTCTGTAACTGGGTCAGTCAGGAGCAGAGGAACAGAGAAACACAGGCCAGCTTCAGTCTCATTAAAACAACCTGGAGGTGAGGAGAGGAAACTGGAGGCACATCAGATAAACCCGGCATGTTTTCCTTCAGTCAGTCAGACACAACGGTGCGTTGGGACATTGTAGATGGAATGAAAAATTAAAAGGTACATTTCTAAGAAAAATGAGATTTATCTCAGAAACTTCCCAGAAACCCCCCCAGATATTTTGGAAGTTTTCATGTTTCTTCTTGAATTTTTTTTTTTATTATTATTTTTTTCTAGCAAATTTGCAAGTTTTCAAACAAAAATGTTCTATTTTTTTTTCTACAAAGTTTCTGAGATTGATCTGAACATTTTTTAATTTTCTCTAGCAATTTTTCGCCTTTTCAAAATCAGAAATTTCCACTTTTTCTAGAGATTGTTTCCTAAAAATATGAGTTTTTTTCTGAGTTTGAAAACTCATATTTGCTAGAAAAAAAACTCGAAAAGTTGAAAATTTTTGACTTTTGAAGCTAATTTTTTTTTTCTAGAATATTTCTGACTTTAATTATAAAATTTCAGATTTTTTCTTGAAATTTTTTTGACTTTTCAAACTGAGAATTTTACTTCATTTCCCTTTGACTAGGTAAAGACCCTTTTAGATAAATATCTCATTTTCAAGAGGGACCTGTGCAGAAATTTTCTAGAAAAATTCAGATTTTTTTGGCTGAAATTTGCTCATTTTTTCTATCTACCTCCCTAACACTGTTAAAATCAAAAGTCCATTTCCTCAATAAAAGCAAATGTCTTCATGCAACAGAAGCAACCTCACCATCAGAGGGTTTAACTGAATGATTTGTGGAGCTAAATCTTCCTGTTCAGGGTAAAACCAGGTTCCAGCAGTTATTTGGCAATCATATCAGGATTTCATGACGTTTTGTATCAGCTGGTCTGAACGTCCAGCACTCTGATTCTGAATAATTTGGCATCATTTTCATTTGCACGCGCTGCTTGCATGCAGAACATGATCTGTAACTCAGATCTGCTGATGGGGCAGCAGGAGGCGGGAGCATCTTCCTGATGAAAGCACCTTGGTGTTCAGGAAGAGAAGCTGCTCTTCAGGCCAGCTGGTGAAGCGTAAGGCAGCAGCAGCGGGGGGAGTAACCTCCAGCAGAGGTCAGAGGTCAGACAGAGAGCAGGGCAGATGGAAAACAGTTCGGCCTCCAGGTTTGGTCGTGACGGATGGAGATAATCGTCGGGTCATTTTAGCCGAGCCACGGCTCTGTAGACGGCGAAACCCAGAACGGCGACCACAGCGGAGCCCAGAGCCACCCGCAGCCAGAAGGAGGCGCTGCTCAGGTCCGACCCGTTCAGGTGGCTGGAAAACAAAAACCATCCGTGAAACACAAACCAGCAAGAGGTTTCCGCTCGAGCCGAGCAGATGAAAAACACCAGAGTCACTTTCATACCAGGTTTTCTCCATTTTCTTTACTAAACGTAAAATAAAATAAAAAATATTTAAAAAGCTGATGTTATTTGGAGTTTTAGGCCCAGGCTACAGTAACTTCTGTTTAACTATGATAATAAAGTCATAATGTTATCAGAACAAGGAGAATCGTGATAATTTGATAATTTAAACATAAAGTTTAACTTCACAAAATGCTCAACATTCTTCATTCTAATGTTTTATTGTTCCTCGTTTTCTCCTCATGTTATTACGGCTTTATTCTTATTTTATTTTGACTTAATGTAGCATTACTTAATTTACACATTTTTTCTTGCATTACTACATTATTATATTATTGTGACTTAATGTAGTGCAACTTCATTCTACAAATATTACTTTATTCTCATATTACTAAACATTTACCAAATTTATTCTCATATTTTTACATTTTTCCTGTATTATTGTGATTTTATTCTCATTTTTTGTCCTTTCTCGTATCACTACGACTTCGTCCTGTTAGCCTTATAAGTTTCATGATTACAATAAAAACTGCAGCCTGGCTCTAAACATCATGGAGTTCACCTGAATCAAGTCCAAATGAATAAAAGATGGCCGCCCTGACGTCACTCTGAACTACGGAAACCCAAAGAATGCATCGTGAGAAAAAATAAAGATTTTACAAGAATTAAATAAAATAAGAAGTTTGATTAAGCAAATCTATTTATCACTCAGCCCTGTTGTCTTGCAAATTTCAAATCCACTTTCAAAAATACATTATTGACCCCAAAGTGAAATTATTCCATGCCGGTTCTGGTGTTTGCTGTAGTGTTGGTTCTGGACCGGTTCTGGTACGTACGGGTGCATGGCGGCCCAGGCCAGCCTGCTGTAGATGCTGCTGCCGGCGGCGTCGAGCGTCAGGCCGCAGAACGGCAGCGGCGGCGGCAGGCGGTGCTTGTAGCAGAACTCGGCTGGCGTCATGCCGTGGAACTGCTTGGCTTCAGGAAGATCCGCTTTGGAGGCGACCAGAACACACGGAACGCTGCCGTCCATGTAATGTTGCTAAACATGGAGGACACAGAGAAACTAAGCCGCCATTTTGACTGGCTGCTCCTCTAAGGAGCAAAATAAATTCAGTTTCTATCGTCTGACTGGAAAATATCCAACATACAGATGATTTTCATTTAATGCTTCATTTCTGCTGGAACTGTTGCTGAGTCTCAATCACAATAAAATAAACATTTTTAAAATGATATTTGAATTAAAGTCACAGCTTCTAGATTTTCCATGTTAAACTTTCAGATTATTCCAGATGTAACTTTCCACAGATTTTCAAGTTAATCTGAAATTAGGAAATACTGGAAATACTGGAGTTCACAATGAAGACTCCAATGAAGAAAAGAAAAAAGGAAAGAAGAAAAATTAACCGAGGAAGGAAGAGAAAAGGCAACAAGACAGAAACCAACATCGATCAGATTGGCGAGTAAAAATCTACCATTGTCTGCTGATACAGCTAACGCTAAAGCCAACAACGCTAATGCCAACAACACTAAAGCCAACAACGCTAAAGCCAACAACGCTAAAGCCAACAACGCTAAAGCCAACAACGCTAATGCCAACAACGCTAATGCCAATGCTAAAGCCAACAACGCTAATGCCAACAACGCTAAAGCCAACAACGCTAATGCCAACAACACTAAAGCCAACAACGCTAATGCCAACAACGCTAAAGCCAACAACGCTAATGCCAACAACGCTAAAGCCAACAACGCTAATGCCAACAACACTAAAGCCAACAACGCTAAAGACAACACTACTACCACCAACAACCCAAAAGCCAACAACGCTAACGACAA